ATATATATAATTATATATATTTATACCATTATATACTAATATTTTATTCGTGTAACTTAACTTGATTAATCAAACTCCTCTCTTTCTCTCGTTCTCTCTTCTTGCTCTCTCACTCTCATTCGCTCTCACACTTTCGCTCTCTCATGCTCACGCACACAGTTGTTTTTTTTTCTTCATTCTCTCTTCTTCTAGCAATCTCCATCAAAATTCGAACAAGGAGACCACTTTATTCTCGCGTAACTATTTTCCATTTTATCGTATCTTTTGTTATCTTTCTCTATCGCTCTATCTCTCTCTTTCTTTCTTTCTTTCTTTCTTTCTCACTCTATTTGTTTTTTTTGCTTTGTATCTTTCTTTATAATTCACATAACATGAATAACTCTCTGTATGTTATTTGTTTTTTATTTTCATTTTCCACCTTTCATTTTGTTTCTCTTCCTCTCTTTCTCTCTCTCTCTCTCTTTCTCTTTTAAATGACACATTATAGAACAGAAAAAAGTACAAGCGGAAAGTTGACACACATTTGAAATGAAATAATGCATGAAACATCACGGTTTTCCTCGTTCACCCGGGATTCGCGTAATTTTCTTATTAACTTTCAACGATTTCTTCATATTTTTTCCTCTCTTTTATTATTATTATTTTTTAAATATTTCTTTAGGTCCTTAGGTTCTTCCTTCGATCATGAAATGCAAGAAGCAGGAAAGAAGAAAAAAAAAATAAAAGAGGAATAAATAAAAATGCAAGCAACGAAAGGGAAAAATTTTGCGCCACCGAAAAAATGAAATACGCAGTCGTAACTCGTTTTTATATTTGTTTTGTCTCGTCTCGTCGTTTTGGATGGAATCCGTTCCTTATTGGCTTAAACAACATGAACGTACGAGCATCTTGAACACACTTTATATAAAATTCTCTTCCTCTTCCTTTCTCACCCTTTTTCACCCTTTCTCACCCTTTCTCTCTCTCTCTCTCTCTCTCTCTCTCTCTTTCGCGCGCTCGCTCTCTCTATTTTTCTCTTTTATTAGTATTTATTCTTTACTCTGTAGCATCCAATGCTGAACAATAATATCATAAGTTTTTCTATCTCTTCTTTCTCTCTTCATCTTATTTTTTTTTTTTTAATTCTTCTTCATAAATTCTTGTTTTTTTTTTCTGAACAATGAGCGAGTTATCACTACGTATATACGTATGTATGTTGTTGTATGTATGTATGTATGTTGTACGTATGTATTTTTTATGTATGTATTTATGTATATATGCATGTAATACTTTTTTCCTTTCATTTATTTTGAAAAATATGTCCGTCGTGACACACGGGTGTGCTCTCTCTCTCATTATTATTATTGTTATTATTTAATATTATAATTATTATTTATTATTAATATTTTATTATTATCATTATCATTAATAATATATTTAATATTATAATTATTAATATATTAAATAATATTATTATTATAATATAATTATTATATTATTTTTATTATTATTATTATTATTATTATTATTATTATTATTATATTATAATTTTTTTTTCCTTTCATTTTATTTTCATCTCTACATTTTTTCATGCATTACTAGATTTCAATATCAGCGCAATCATCGTATAGATCCTAAATCGCGAGTAATATTTACACCCAGCAGACAAAATACAACGTCTGTTGTAATGAGTGTGTTAATGTGTAGATTTTGTTTGTGCTTATATGTGTGTGGCTGTATCGGATGATGATCATTGAATAATTTTTTTACCTTTTTTTTTTATGTCGAATGAGATGCTTGACCGATTGCGAGTATATATTTATTTACGTGTCTCTTGTTTATTTTTTATCTTATACTTTTTTTTTGCTAAAGGATTTCCACTTCTCTTCTTTATAATCTCACTTTTTCCTTCTTTCTCTTTCTTTCTTTCTTTCTTTCTTTCTGTCTCTCTCTCTTTTTTAATTCGATAAAACGGAAATAGAGCATTTGTGCGCCTCTAATTAACGAGCAACCATTACAATGAGACCAACGATGTCCAGTTTTCTATAAGATTAATGTCTTTGGTATCGTGCCTGAGTCTTCTTTTACAATTCTCCTTTTTTTTCCCGTTTTCTATTAGTTTTCATCTTCGTCATCCCTCTTCCATCATATCTACGCTAAAAAAATGCAGCTAAAACAATCAATTCTATTAGACCTTACCGAACGCGTCCTTATCTTCATTATCCTTCTCTGCTTTCACACACACACACCCGTTCTACATATTAGTAATAATTATGTGTTTTTATATATTATATATTTAATAAAAAACTTAGAAAAGAGTCTCATGAGTCGTGGTTTATTTACGCGAAATTAGCGTAGAAAAAAGTATTTAACTACATCTAACACCTGTAAATTGATTAGACAATCGAGTCACGCATTCACGCGTGTGTAACAATGAGCAAAGATATCGGATCAATTTAATATTTATACTTTTCTATTCATTAAAAATGTTTGTCGTTTTATTTGCTTTATTTTTTGTTCTTTCTTATTATTTTTTTTTTTACTTCTTCTTTTTATTCTTTTTTCCTCTATTTATGGCAGCTTTGTATCGCGCGGGATAAATCGCGCGGGTGTCGTGCGAAATGTTTATAAACAACTTTCGATTTATCTTTCTCTCTCTCTCTCTCTCTCTCTTTCTCTCACTCACTTTCTTTCTTTCTCTTTCTTTTTTTCTATCTCGTTCGAAGTCTAACAATGGTCATTTCATGATAGGGGAGGATCATCGTTTATATTTAATGTTCTTTTCTTTCTCTAATTCTGCGATATGTGTTGTAATCAACGTATAACAAATTCGACGTTCTAAAAAATGTTGGTGTTGTTTAACTGGATTATTCGTAGTTCTAGCTAATTGAAATTGCATCGAATCGACTATAAGATTCGTAATAAAATATGAGACTGTAAAAGACGAAGAGACAAACTAACAATTCTCGCAATCTTTCTTTCTTTCTCTCTCTCTCTCTTTCTCTTTAATATAAATTTAATACTTGTAGGAATGAAATATTATTAATACATTAATAATAGAAAATGAAAATAAATGCAGGAACAAAGGAAGAAGATAAATACGTTTGTCTCTTCCCCTTGAGAAAGCTTCACATTTTGACTACGAATTAATCAATAGAAAACAACAGCGACGAGATGGTATCCATCTTAGTATCCCCGTTAACCAATTTACTGTTACTTCGATCTTTTCCAATTGACAATACGCGTAAGTACGACGATCCAAACGTGAAATCTAAGAGTGAAGCTTTTTGTTAGAAATTTATAATAACAAGAAATGCGATGGAATTTGTACTGTCGATAAAATCAAAGTGTCCATTTTTCTTTTCGTCTGTCAGTTCGCCTATCTTCTTTCTTTTCGTCTTTCTTCTCTCTTCGGTCTTTTTTTAAAATATTTTTTTAAACGGTTTATAAAGAACAACGAAGAATAGATCTAGGCTCGCCCAAGGGCTCTTTCAGTCTTACCGTTTGTTTTTGGGATGTGTGTGCTTTTCTCCTTTGTTAAATCTTCCTTATTTATTTATTTATTTATTTATTAAAATTTTTTTATATCTCGGAGCTTTTAAAAAATATTAATTTACTTTTTTTTAATCTTCGTTACTTCTGGGCGAGTCCCGTGCTCTTTAATCAACGATCGTCGAGATCAACGAATAAAATAATTTAATAATAATAGCGTATATATCCTAAAGAACAACTAGCACTTGTTGTCTACCTTTCTCATTCTCTCTTTTTCTAATTGTTTTTCTTCCTGTCTTTCACATTGTTTTTCTTTTTTCCCCCTATTTCCCTTTCCCTTTCCCTTTCCTTTTCTCTTTCTCTTTCTCTTTCTCTTTCAACTTCGGTATTCCGTATTTCGTGTTTTCGTGTGTCGTGTGCGTGTCAAAAGTTACAGACGGCTGAGTCGAGGATTCATTGTTCGCATTTTCCAAAGTTCATGAAACGAATAATGGTAGGCCATCTCTCATCCTTAACCATTGTTATTTCACAAAAGGATAAATAAAAGCTTTCCTCTCGACTTTGGGAAAACGTCAGTCTCTCTTTCTATATACATATATAATATATTCAATACATATATATAGAAACGTATATGTGTTTAAGTAGGTGTATTCAACTCGAACGTCAAATGCATTTCTGGTTAGATCGAAGAAAACTTTACGAGTCCTACACCTCCCTTCTTTTGTCTTCTAACTCGAATATATGTATATATGTATTTATATAAATATAATTATATATATGAATTTAATATTTTAAAGCAAATTTATCGTAATAATATATCAATAGTTAAATAAATAATAAAATATATATATATATATATAGAAGATAGTGTAATAAAATTATATGTAATATATAATCGAATTGAACTTTTCGAATAATTGCGAACAAAAATGAATATCCTTCCTTCCTCGCCCCTCTTTTATATGTTCGAATTTAATCGAATACTTTTTTTTTCTCTCGCTTTTTCTATCTCTCTCTTTCTTTCTTTCTCTCTCTCTTTCTCTCTCTCTCGCTCGTTCACTCTCATTCTCTCTTTCTCTCTTCCAATGCCTAGAAAAACATTTCATTTTATATAATATATCACATACGCGTTTACCTCTAAACACACTGAAATAAGAAGCACTTTAAGATAGTTGACCTAGAGATACAATGACTCCCAAAAATATTCGGACACTGCTGGCATGACTAAATTTCTGGCTTCATATATCGGTTATTTATCAAACGATCGTCTTGATTATATGTTTTTAGTTAGAGAAATCCTTCCTAGATAATTGAATCAGGAAGCCATAAAGTTGGTCATGTGGCAGTGTCCGAATATTTTAAGAAGTCACTGTATATTAATGGCACTATCGATCACGCATTAAATATTTCAACGTTAGAAAAATTGCATGGTGAGCCTAAAGATAGTCACCTTTATTTTCTTTTCTTTTCTTTTCTTTTCTTTTCTTTTCTTTCTTCTTTCCTTCCTTTTCTATATTTCTTTCTTTCTTTCATCATCTCTTTTCTTCTTTTTCTCGTCATCCTCCTTCCTCCCCCGTTCTCTTTTTTTCTTCCACTCTTTTTAATTGACTTTACGAAAAAAGCCTTGTCGTATAATACTAATGGCGCACAGTTTTACAATCACTCCGTGACAGACAATTTTTCTAAAATAGTGGAGAGATTACGATCAACTAGTTCGCACTATTTTCACAATCGAGCCTGATTTCGTTGGAACACTTTACCGCCCATGTTTTTTTTATTTATTTATTTTCTTCTTCATTTTCTTGTCTATTCATTTAAGCACGAAATTTCGAATCAAATTCTGATTGAACCTTTCGCGGGACTCCTTTTTATCCAAAGTTTCTGTAAAACAGTGCCATGCTAAAGAACTACGATTCGATAATCGTATAACTCCTAAAATTAAAATATTTCACAGTATATTCTCTCTTTCTCAATCTCTCTCTCTCTCGCGTTCTTTTGCATGCATACTCATTAGCAATCACGCGCAAGGACTCGAGTATTACAAAGTGAAACTAACGTATCGTAGAAAGAAAAATTGGCGAGATTCGTTTTGACGAGCAAAAAGTAATGAAAAACAGAAGCATCACACCATGTTCGGCTGCTTGACTCGAGCTGGGCGAGCCTCGATAGCTAAGTTTTCCAAACGATACTCACCAACTGCCTAACTGATACACCTAACAACTCGGATCATCTAATCCAAGTTAAAGCAACAACGTGGAATCATTCTTTGATCGCATGAGGAACGTTTGAATAACTTGGAATAGCTGAATTTAAGCCTAACAGATTAACCCTTTCGCTGACACCTATTTTATGCTTTGAACAGAAAGAAACATTATTTCAAGATATTTCAACAGAGCGACCGCAATATCAAATGGTCTAACACCAGCGAAAAGGTCAATTGGTAACCCTTAACCTGATAGAATCGTAGAAGCTTTTACTCCTCGTAAACTTTTTCGAGGGAAAAAATGGCATCGTGGTGGCATCGATGAAAAATAATGAAGAAAAAAAAAACAAACAAAACGAAAAGAAATTAAATCTCTCTCTCGCTCCGTCATTCGCTCTTGTTCACACTTACACTGGCATCAGACTTTTCCGTGAGTCTCTATACATTTTGGGAACGCGCAGTAGGACTGTCGATTAAGAAGGTATCCTGTCCTCCCCAGGATAGGGGGGAGGGTAGAAGCAGAGCGTCAAAGGGATCGCGATAGCCGTGGGAATAATCGACGACTATGATCGATAGATGAAACTGCAGGGTGGCGTTAGGGTTGGCGGCGGTGGCGATCCACTCATCGCGATCGGTACGAGGGTTGGCGACGGCGACGAGGAGGGAGGGGAGGGGGAACTCGAGGAGACGTTGGAGGTTGGCGAAGGCGACTCGAGTGCCCTCGGGCCAGCTAACTCACGAGTGGACTGTCCCCCTGAGGCCGTCACAGCGCGACTACTTCTACCGGCTGAGCCCGCGTTGTGACGAATCCGTGTTGGCCGTCCTAAGCTCCGGTGACGGCCACCTCCCTCCTCGCTCGTTTCTCAAAGATAAACCTTTTTGACGCTACGCGTCGTCGCGAACCCGTCGTTCCGACGATACGCGTCCCCTTGATGGGAACGAAGGGTACCAAAGTTATCCCGCGGACCACGGAAACCGTAACCGTCCGGAAACTGGAAGAGGGTTTCCGTTGGCGTTGGCGGTGGCTTCCTCATGGTCCCCTTTGGCGAGTGCATCTTCGATGGTTGGGGAACCAGGACAGGTTCCGCGTACGTAACTTCTTCTTGTGGCAGTAACTTTGGCTCCGGTGCTAACCTGATAATCAAACAGACATTTTATTATACGTTACGAATTTTTAAATATGGGTCACACGAGTTATACTTTACCTGTTGACGTTCTGTCGCTGTTCAAAGTACTCGTACTCCGTATCCGGATACGGTAGGTTATCGTCCTCGTCTTTTCTGCACTTTCGGCCGCACAGGTATCCCGCTACAAAACCAAAGAGCAGAGCTGCTAATGCMCCAGCCATTACGGCAATCACCAAAGTCTCAACGCTGTATTGCGGTGGGGGCGAATCCGCGGCCGATACTTCTGGACCTGTCGCGTTAACATATCCAATTTGAAATATGTCCTATTGAGAATTCTAGTCCGACCAATTATTATATCGAAAGTTACCTGAATTGTCTTGCTCTTCGTTTTGCATGATATTGAGTATTTCTCCACCTTGGCTTTCCTTGTTGGGTATCATCGAGTCTTGAGGGAATTTATTTTGATTGGCGGATATAGCACCGACGCTACTGGCGTCCTTGTTCAATCCCTTGCTCGGCGGGCAGGAGGCATGAATGCCGGTTGCTACGCTTTGCAAAAATCTGCTGGCATCCGTAGCCGCTGGACCAACCAGAGCTCGGCATTTGCCCTCGACCTTGTCCCAAGCACAATATGGATCTTGAAGAGCCACACATTCGCCGCAGGACCGTATCCTGTCGCCGTAGCAACGATGCAACCTCAGTGCTTGAACTTGGCTGTCCGCTATAACAACCAGCCGGCCATCTTCCAAGCCATCGCCGGCTTGCGAGGCACGGACGACTTTTATTCCACGTACAGGCACCGTCGATGGAAACGCTTGGATCTCTTCGATTACAACCGGACTGACTTTTTCGTGAGAATCCGCTGACTCGGCGTTCACCGCTTTGATAACTTTTCCGTTGTCCGTGCCGATGAAAAGGACATCATAGGTTTTACCACCTGGTGTCTTCACTTGAGGATCCACCGCGATTTGAGTGAACCTGTAACTGAAGTTCACACGAATTCCCTTATTTTATTATTCTTTTGTATTAGCGGACAGAGACAAAGAAATAAATATAATTATAGAGATAGTAGTAGATATTACTGAAAACTGGTGCGTATAACGATCGGTTGTCCAAAAAAGCTCGGCACTGACTCATCCATGAGGGAATGGGTTTTGATGAAGTCTAAATTGATGTCCGATAAAGTGTGAGAATCGTTGGAGCATATTCCTGGTCTGGGTTCGGGTACTTTGGCACTTTGTACAGGCAGCCAGTTTGAGTTGAGCGCGCTTTGCTCCTTGAAATTACCCTCGAAGGTATCGGTGATGTCCTGGAGGGAAAATGCGCACACGGCTGAGCCGCTTATGCTATTCACCGGGGTCGTGAACGTGCCGTATATCAGCTGGGCTGATAAACTTCCGTATTGTCCGGATATCAGTTCGGTCGTTGACTCTGCCAATACAAATTAATATACCAAAATGTACATTTACGAGGTAAAACATTTGGAACATTTTTATTAGAACAAATTGTCTTTTCCTGGCATTGATATTTATTAAATGAAAATTCTCTTTTAAGAGTTAGAACTCACGTATTTCATTGAAGTAAAAAGGAAAGTCCCCGGTGACGGAGCAATTAAGTCGAGACTTGAGGAAAGACGTCCATCTGTTACGGAAACGATGGGGTCCACCCCGATCGTATTTACAGACTCTCGCCACGCGAGAATAAACGGCCTGGAAAGGTCAAATAAAACTGAGATAAGAAGGAAAGAAAATCTGTACGAGCGGTGTAGTTGTAGGTATTTATCCGTTATATTAAAGTTTATCTTCTTATTGAAGCGAACGATCAAGAATCGTCTATTTTTCCTACTGTACTTGGCTATATCAGGAAGCTTTTCGTCTTGGAACTTTTAGAAATCTGTCAAAGATTGTAAAAACTCCAAAGCACAAGGAGAAGCTTTCGTAATAAGCCAAAGGGCAGGACTTAAGACGACTCATTCACAATTGACCTGACCCCTCAGCTTTCGAACTTTCTTTCGATCGAAAAGAACCGGGGATGAGAGAAGGATGGGTGGAATCGTTTGCCGTTAGAGAATGGCTAAAGAACGGGCCTTCTCTAAAAGCTCATTCTGAATGGCCACTGATCGTAAGAGACTTAATCGTCTTAAATGGGTGATAAGAAATGTCGAAGAAAAGTACTCTCCGAAAGTACCAGTTGTTACGAGAAAGAAAAGACAAATTTTATTTCTCTATGGGATTCGATCTTGAACTAAATCAAATTTCATAAAATATACAAGAAATCTGGCATCGAAAAGAACAAAAAATAATGGGATAAATTTTGTAAACTTAATCTATAATCAATAAAATAAGGGTGTAAATTTGTACAAATTGTCCACTTATCCGATCTCGCGAAAAGCGTGTTACGTGTAAAACGAAAATCATAAATATAGTATGAAAATATATTATAAAACCCGAGTCACGTGACTCTCTCGTTCAGGAATATATAATCAACGGATCGGTAATGCGCTTAATAAATTATTTCCGCTTTAATTACGTTCCCTCGATGGTAATCAAGAGATTCATCGATCGTTACTCACCTTGCCGCAGTTTATATATTCGACGGCGGTCTCCCTGAAGAAGAAATAGACAAAGTCTCCTTGGGACATGGAGTTCACGAAATTTGGAGCTGCAACGAGAACAATGTTTTATCTTTCTTTATTTCGAAGATACAAATAAACAAAAAAAATGTTGTGTACATATTTAATACGTATTTGTTTTAGAAGAAGTACTTTTTCGACAAAGTTTTGTACATTTTGTAGATAAAAACGGCATCTTACCGATATTTTATCTCTCGTTAAAAGTACCTGTCCCAAAGTATATCAAACTTTTATTTTTCTCAAAGAAAAGGAACAACAAAAGAAAGAGTATTCTTTCGTTAAAAGGATTAAGAAAGGTTTGAAATATCAGTCTGTTAAGTTCGTTATAGTCATCCCTATAATTCCTTTCCGAACAGGACTCCCATACAGAAGTCTTTTATTTTAAGCGATTATTTCAAGAATCTCGCGGTAAAACTCTATTTCTCTTTTGTCAGTAAAGTAGGAAAACTTTATCGATTTATTAACCGTGACAGGGTTTTCATAAGCTTCTTAAGATTCATAAAGTAATATTAATCTCGTGCGATACGTACGAAGTGTCCTATAAATTTTCTCCATTTTCCTTTCTTACGCGCTTACACACACACAAACACACACACATAGAGGACACAAACGCACGTTTCTAACCAAAGTTTCGATGTCCATTCGAATTTTGGTCAATGGACGACAAATTATTCCGAGTTTTTTAACGAAAAATTTAACTCGATCTCGTCTGGCGTGCAATTTTATTCTTATTCCGTACGATTAAAAATACTTTGATTAGCGTGTTTTTTATCCGGTAACCTTTCTCTCGTTTCTCCAGTCGATCGGAAGTCGACTTGTAAATTGTTCAAGAACGAAAGATGAAGCAAGAAAAAGCAAGAAAAAGATAGAGAGAAATAGAGAGAGAGAGAGAGAAACGAGACAAAAGATGAGGAAGAAAAAAAAACGAGAAGATAGAAAGAGAGAGAAAGACAGAAAAGGGAAAATTGAATTTTCTCCCGACCAAAAATCAATATTATCCAACTTGGGTAGGAAAACTTGATTAGCGCTCGTACACCGTTCAATTAAAATACCCTCGGAGACGAGGTAGGAGGGGTGGTGGGGATGAGGGGGGAGGTAGAGAAGGGGTTGGGGTGGTTAGGGGTAGAGGGTGCCTCGAACAAAGTGACGTATCAATTTTAACGCTCTGTTCGAACCAACCAACCAACCAACCTACCAACCAACCAACCGACCAACCACCCAACCATCCAACCAACCGATCGACCGACGACATCGACGAGTCTTAACGGAAATTTTCATTCCCTTCGTACCTTTTTATTAATATCTCTCATCTCGTTCAAGCTGCGTACATGTAGGTATTCGTATGGGTTTTTTGTTCGGTTAACAAATTTTTAACGTTAAAACGCCTCGTGCCTGTGTTTCTTACATAATATCGTATAATATAATAGAAAGGAAAGGAAAAAAAAGAAAACTGGAAATAAAACAGGGGTGGTATCAGAAGTTTAAGCTACTTACACGATGCGCGTCTTATCGCATAGAAAAGTGCTTTTGTAAAGAACCAGAAAACTCGGTCGATTTTTTGAAAAAAAGGAAAGAACAAAGAGATTCTCTTGCCAGCGAGAAGACTCTTCATTATCGTCTTGTCTTTTTTCTCTATTACAAGGGTTGGATGCTGTATGAGAGGGAGAGAGAGAGAGAGAGAGAGAGGGAGAGAAGAAGAGAAAAAAAAGTGAGAGAGAAAAGAAATCCGATCTTCTCTTTGTAAATTTTCTTTTATATTTTATATTTTCCTTTCTTCTCGTTGGATATATTTCTCTTTGTTTCTTAATTGCACGAAACTGATACTTGGTTCTAACTTATTTTCCAAAGATCGCGAGGGAGTCAAGTTCTGCAGAGTGTCTTTTTCAAAGCTCTCATATTTTAACAAATCGTACAAAAGAAATTACGAAGGAAATTTGTAGAAAATCCTTTGGCAGAAACTCTGGCAATTTAGTGGCAAATAAATTTTGGCCCCGAGATGTTTTTGCGTTTCCTACAATTTCCTTTTCTTATATCTTTTACGGTTGTGTGCCTTTTTGCTGCGATCCGTTGAAAAATGACGTGGGACGGTTGAAAAAGATACTCCTCCTATACTCTTACCTATTTCTAAATCTTCCTTAAACGCACGATTAATTTTGAAATTAGATCAGGTAGATTAGAGTTTTAAGATTTTCTGAATAATTTTGAATTAATCCGAGTTATCTTTTTCTCTTCGTTTTTCTTTCGTTTGGATTTCGTCCGAGGATTTCCAAAATCGAATTTGTCCTTTTTCTCGAGACGAGAAGGAGAAACTTGACCTGTTAAATAATCCCTTTTCATACTTAAGTATCCGTGAATTTATAAGAAAGAGAAATGAAGAAAAAGAGAGAAAGATTCTTTTGGAATTTCAAACGAACGAAAGAACCACCACGTTGAACTTACGTCGAGGTTGGTTAACTCTTTGGCTTCATCTCTTATTCGAATAAAGTATGTTCAAAAGGAAATAAAATATTTTCTTTTAACTCGATATCGAATATGTATGATAATAAAACTTGCTACTAGTAATATCGGATATTTTTTTTCTTACGAAATTTTCCATAAACCTACTCGCATTTAGCATCTTTTTTGCAGCGTTCTTTTAATAACGACGAAAATGTCGCTTCAAATTGCAATATTAAATCGTAATAAAGGAAAAAACGTGAAAGATATCATACAATTTCTCGCCCTTATAAATTAAATTCCCTTTAATATTTAATCGCGAATTATATATTTTTATGACGAAGAAAATAATATGAAATTTTCATAGGCAATTATATAAATAATTTCGTAAAAATGTCAGACTTTTAACGAACTTTTCCAGATCTTAAACATCCCATTATTTATTTTTGAAACACAAATCAAATATATTAGTAGACTATTATTAAATTGTAAAACGGATACTCACAATTAAGACTCATCGAATCGTATTGTTCGGTTTGTAAGGGTTCCCTGTAGATAATGGGATCCATTCCAGCAAAATCGGCGACAGTTCCGGTGTAAAGTTCACCGTCGACATAAACGTAGGTACTGTTGTGTTGAGGATCGTAAGGGCACATAGCTTGTGCTGCTTTTTCCTTGATCATCGTGTAATTACCTGCGTGTACTAGGTAATCGCGGCACATCGGTTTGAAGGCGTTCGTTGCGCACACCAAAAGGGTGCTCGAGTTCGTCTTCACGAGGATTCGTATATAATTCTGGCAGTTTTCCTCCGGCGTACCTTTAACTACGCACATCTTTACATCCTTTTCCGTCGAATACCACGTAAGCCTTTGTTGCTCCGTCAGATCGGTCAAGCTCAGGTTATGCACTAAATTTCTGTAAAGAAAAAAAAACACAATTTTATTCTTTCCCCAACACCTATTATATTAGAAATTCTTGAAGACAGGCATCTATGCATTAAAATCTCGTTGAGAAAAGTGTTTCGAAGCAAATAGAATTTATTTTGATTAAATGAACAGGTTTTGAAAAAAGATATGCAGTTTTATATATTCATTTCATACGTACCAATCTAATATACGGGTAGTTAGTAATCAACGAGTAGAAAAGTTATTATTTAAAAATCAAATAAATATCAATGACAAAATAAAAGGAGAGAAGCAACGGAATATAAAATTAAGAAAAGAAAAAATGAAAAATCGGAAGGAACGCGAAACAACAATTTTATTGTACACTGCACTCTCAGTTTTCAAGCGAGTAAATTATGCAATTCTTTTGAAAGAATCCGAACATTTTCTCCTCTCCTCTTTTCTACTTCTACTACTGCTACTACTACTACTTCTTCTTCTTCTTTTTCTTCTACTCCTACTCTTCTTTAGGGACAACGAAATGCGGGAGAGAAAGAGAGAGAGAGAGAGAGAGAGAGAGGAGACACGACGAAGTCGCGGCCGTTTGCATTGCAAACTCAAAATTAACAGGAAGATTCGATTTCCTAGAAACTGCGTATCTCTTCATTTACATTCGACTGTGGTTTTTACCCTTTTTTTTGCATGTTTTTTCCTTTTTTTTCGTGTTTTTTTTTTTAATATTTTCCTCTTTTTTTTTTTCTACCGACCATTCGAATTATGAATGCAAATACGGGCGAGTATGCATAGACGATTCCGACGTGTATCGCGTTAAAGGTTCGATTTGCTATCGTTGGAAAAAGAGAATTGGTAGGAAAAAAAAATAAAAAAAAAAGGAACGTCATCGTTAATGCGGAATACGAAAAGAAAGATGCGACTTGAATTTCGTTCCTTTTAAAAAAAACCTTATCTTATGAAAAAGACGGTATTTACAAATTAATTAATTTCTTATTTTTTCTTTTTCTATTTCTTTTTCTTTTTCGATGTTTTGTCAAATGACAGTTCAATCGATATTCCTGTCGTAAAAGAAAAAGCACATTCTTAATGGACTTAAAACCATAATTTAATTTTCCAACGTTCAGCAGCTTACTTTTCTCATTTTTTTTCCTCAGCTTTCTTATGATTCTAATTCGAGCGTTAAATAACGACGAGACATCGTTGTAAGATCTTTCGTTTCTTGAAAGCTCCCCTTTAAGAAGAGTATGAAATTTTCAAAGTTTTTACAGACGCTCGAGTTACGCATAACTACTTAGAGCTTTTCGAAGAACGAAGAACGAAGAAAAGCAAAAATCAAAAGCAAACAGAAAGAGAAAGAAAAAGAGAGAAAAAGATAGAGAACAATGAGTTATTCACGTTTAGAAACTTTTCTTTTTTTGAAAAACATTTTGTCCTTTGTGTTTGTTTTTTCGTTTGTTAATTCCTGACGACGATGTTGCATCGAAATTATCAGAAAAGAATCGATGAAGTGAAAAAAAGTGGAAACGAGCTGCTTTACCCCTGAGATTTTCTCTTTCCTTTTTTCTTTTTCTCTCTTTTTTTTTTTTTTTTTTTTATTATTATTTATAATTCACACGTTAGTTTTGTTATCCAACGAATATTTTATTAATGTCTGGTAAGTGAAATAAAACGTTGATTTAGATTTAAAAGAAAAAAGTAATCTTTAGTTACTTATCAAGCAGGAAAATTCGAATAAATTACCAACGATTTGAAATGAAATTTTCCTACGTATTTACCTGATGGCGTCAAATCATTACATATGCCGTTATACGAGAGAAACGTTCAACGAACTCGTTCGTTTCCCACGAGACGAGTTGTTCTCGCAAAGACAAAGTTGAAAATTCCATTCGAATGTCGTTCAAATCACGTCATCTTTTGTCGGATTCGAAATGTTAATTTCAATTTTACATTCTCGCGTTTCAACGAAGAGAAAGTCATTTACAAAGATGTTGTTGCAAATCGGTAAAAGCAATTGACGATTGTTAAGAATCTTCTTTACTCGTCCCTGAATCAGAGCTTTTGCGATAGAACAAAATAATAAAGCGTTCCAAAATACTGAATTTGTTATGCATAATTTATGCACAAAAAGGAAGATTTTGTTTGAAGCTTTAATGAAGCATAACTGAACGTTAATAAATCACGATATACCTTTTTGTTATTATAGTATGAAAAGTAAATGAAGAATTTTCCGTGCTAATATTATACATTATACATTAAAAATGTTATTTACTTCGGATAAATTATCTCTCTCTCTCTCTCTCTCTCTCTCTCTCTCTTTTTCGCTCTCTTTAAAAATATCAAATAAAATAATATTGAGAAAGCCAACGTAGTTAAGTTAAAAACTAGGGTAACATTGATTCCGCTTTATTTCATTTCTAATTGTCACTCTTTCCTTTTAACTATTTTTCTTAAAGATATAAATCGATAAATCATATTTGAACGAGACGATTATAGTATATAATAAAACGGAGAGAGAAAGAGGGAGAGAGAGTTTCCGAGTTCGATGTTGACGTATCGTCTCGTTCTCGAAGATAGTAACACGTTCAAAATTTAATTAGGATAGTAATTACGAACTATCACTCATTCGATAAACGTCCTACATTGATCAATTATTCGTCGAACAATTTTCTTTACGACGTGCACACAAAATGAAATATGAATTTACGAATTAAAATCAGATTTTGTTGTTCAACGATAAGAAAGATTAAAAATAGAAATAAAACGAATGCATATCTCTTCGAGGAATATATTTTAATTAATCGTTTAAGTAATCAAAAAATGATCTGCCGTTTGATAAAAGTTGAAGATAAAGATTAAACATCTGTGCAAAGGAATATTAATTTTTAACGAGACGTTGATAACGAATGAATCAAAAGCTACATTATTAATCATTTCCAGTTTATACATGGTGAAATAAAAGTCTTTTTTCTCATGCAAGTATTTGCATAGAAATTATACGATTTGGATCAGTTATAAAAGTTGATATGGAACAGTTACTCGAGAACTTGGACAGCAACCCTCCCTCGGTTGTGTTTCGTAGAATGTAAATCGATAATTAAAACAAAATTTGACAATTAATATATATATTACGGTTAATGTGAAGAAACGTAGATTCTATAGAATGCCCAGAAGGCATTATTTGGCTATGTTTAAACAATAGCTTGAAATTCCCCCCTCCCCATGCTCTAAAGATACCCCATTAAAGTATATTTTATAGAGTAGTCGAAAATTGTTAAGGGCATTGTGTACATACTTTTTAAAATTCCATGATTTGTTTCACTTACAATAGCTTCATATTCTTCCCTCCTTTTCCGTGTTCTAAACACAGCCAAATGAAGTACATTTTATAGATTGACCGAAACCTTCTAGACAATCTATAGAGTGACCGGATAATCTATATGATTAGTGGGCTTGCGTATGATTTCACAGACTGCCCGATTTACATAGATATTTTATAGAATATCCGTTATCTCAACATCAATCGTAATATATACAAATGTACAAATAAATAGTTTGTTTCGAGTTCTTTTAGGAAAAGTTACATTTATCTCAACCTGTATAATTTTTCAAAGAAAATTTGTATCGAGATATTGATTGCACAAAAAATTAATGAAATGAAAGGAACTTTGATAAATTTAATATTACAAAATCAAACCCCCATATAGATATATATATACATAAAAGTACTAATCTACGTAATATTGTAAATGTTGAATAAGTAAGACTGACACCATAGAAGTAAAGTAAAGAAGAAGAAGATTCGAATGGTGGTCCTTTAATTAAAGCACTTCTATCAAATGAAACCTATATTTACCTTCCACCAACGAGAAGATAGTTGGCATCCCTGAGCACCAACCGAAAGTAGTCTGTGTGCGTTTCATTTCCCGTAAACCTGAACACATCTTCGGCACCTGTAAAAGAAAAACAGAAGAAATGGCAGGTTAAGTTTTCGTTCCATCGCTTGAACAAAAAAAAAATGGAATTATCTTATTCATCTAATTAGTCGACTGCTAGTCTCGTTTCATTGCTCGGTGCTTGGCCAATGCGATTTGGTTCTTTCTTTTTCTTTCATCTCTCTCTTTCTCTCTCTCCCACTCATTCTTTCATAATTCTCAACGGAAGCCAAGTTAATAAGCGTAATAAGTTTCCTTTTGACCGTCGCAAGAGCGTCGAGGAGAACAATGCCCGTGGCCGATCATTAGCGAATTTCGCGTGTCGATGAGTACTTTATCTTACGATCGAGGGTAAATAAGAAGTCTTTTGTTTCGTACAGGCTCTCCTGTTCCTTCTCCGCCCCCACCCACCCCACCTTCCCAACCTTCCTACTCATCCATCGTCTTCTCTCAAGAGAAGAAGACTGCCAACGTTACGTTTTCTTCTTCTTCTAATTAGATAAAGAGAGAAAGAGAAGAGGAGATATATTTCTATGAAGTGAACGCGGTACCCTATCTCTTTCGTTGTTGGAAAAAAAGAAAAAAAAAAGAAGGTAAAAAGAAAAATATTTAAAAAGAATAAAAATTAGAACTCTCCTTCTTTAACTCCTTTTCTCTTTTTTATGATTTTTTAATGGTCCAAAGAAATTTTTATATCGATAATATCTTTAAACTTTGAACCATAAAAAAAAAGAGAGATGGTTCGGTAATGAGTGAAGAGCGAGAGGGATATAAAAATAAAAAGAAAAAAGAAGAAGAAATATGAAACTTCGTTTTTTTTCCCTAACGATCGAAAGGGATTTTTAAATAATAAACATTCAAACTATTTTTAAATTAAAATAAGTAGAAAGAGATAGAGAGAGAGAGTGAGAGAGAGATGGGAATGTACATTTTTGTTGTTGCTCCTAACGATCGAAGGAAATTGTTATAATCGAGACTAAAAATGAATAGGAAAGAAATTGGGGAAAAGATTTAGCTGCGAAAAAGTCGTTTCGATTAATTAGTTTGTGGAGTCGAGATAGTCCATGGAACGTGATTTAATTAATAAAACCGCGAAAGGGTGTCACGGACGAGGGTTGACACTCGATGGATTCGATGATCGACGATGATTACAACGCGTTTTCCCACGAATTTTCACGGCGATGATTCGATAAACGATCGGGAGTCGCAACCCAATGCACACACACATCTATATATATATATATATATATACACGAATACACACACACGGAGAGACAGACACATAGAATTGAATATAGAGAACGGATAGGCTCGTTTTCGATCCGTGCAATTTGATAGGCGAATAGGCGAGTGGTAACGAGCACCAATGACGACGAGGGAGAGAATGAACGGGCCATTATCGGAGGATCATACGTCTTCCTGCAGATACGAATTAACGTCGATATTGTTTTCCATAACTATCGTAAAAGAGAATGGGAAACAAATGTATCTAAATATACACATAGAAGGACATGGGAATAAAATGAGAGACGAATAAAACGGAACTAATTAAGGAATAATTTATCCTCGAGTTATTTACCGAGCTGAACATTTTTCTCTCTCTTTTGGGGTATATATTTGTATTGTAGTTAGGCTTATTTAATATATTTACAAAATTATTTTTTAATAATTTTTTTTAAATAATCTATTACTTTTCGTACATATTTTTTAATATGTATAAGTGCATTTCAATTGAGCTTATCAAAAATTCAAAATTTGTAAATTTGTAAAATTTTATCAAAATTACAGTTGATTTAATAAAACTGCAACGCTTTAAGATCGTAAATAGATGTTTATTTAATTCTCTTCGAAAATGTCTGGAAACCGAGAAAGACCGAGAAAAAACAACCCATTTTTTAAACGTTAATAATTATTTTTCAAATTATGTCAATCGAAAAAACCAATATACATTTCAATTGATATTTATTTAAAATACTTACTTCGAAATTTGTGGGTTTTTATTATTATTTTTTTTTTTTGTATAGTTTAGTAAATATAAAAATGTGTCTTGTATATAAATGATGTAATGTGTACATTAGACACTCGATGTAACTATTATACATACCTCGTTATTAAATGAGAGATTTATGTAATCTATCAATCACATGTAGATTTAATCTCGTTATGGTTATGGTTATGGCGATATGCATAATTGCGTATGCATTTCATAATAAGACGCGAATTGTAGTATTATGTTTATTAATTTTAAATATTGTGAAATATTCCAAATTGTTTAAGTTGTTCTTAAAGTGTCTTGAATAATTTTGTATGTGTATTTGTAATTGTCTTAATCAATTAATAATTTTGTATAAAATCGAAACATTTTTTTATTCATATATTTTTATATTAAAAAAAGCATGGAACAAAGACATACATTTTTCCGCATTCACTTTTGTTTAAATGTAGTTGTTCACATTTTCTAATGCATCGAGAATTCGAAATTTTGTAATGTTCACTTTTTGGTTATCTAAATTTATTTTTTTTTAACGCTTCATTATTTAAATTTTATTATTAAATAATCCAAATTGAAAAGTTTTGCTCGCGGATTGTACTTTGAATTTCATTTTTCCACATATGCCTTTGTTATCTAGTTTTTTATTATATCATTTATGATATAAAAATAAATTAATAAAAATTAATTAGAAGTTATATATTTATAAATATAAAATTAATTTATGTTCCAGGGTTTCTTAATTTTTCTATCACCAAAAATTAAGGTAAAAACAAATATCCAATATTTTTAGTCTATGTTGCAAAGTAATGGTGGTGTTAGTTCTTGTCTCTAAATGTATAGACGTATCTGTGCGTGAATAATTTTTTGGTATTTGTTTAATATGTCAATTATAAATTTATTGTTAGGACATTTCTATTGATGGCTGTTAATTTTCATTGATTCTTGATTAATTATAAATTTTCGCAGATTGTTTCTATACGCAAATAGCAATTTTTTTAATAGTATCTGAATAGGATAACTATGATAATAAGATGAGCAATGCAAAAAGAATGTGAATGTGTGTGGAATAATTCCATGAGAAATTACAATATTTTTATTGAATTTTAAATACTACGAGGAGTATTTTTTATGACATAGCGAAATTTTTATGATTATTAAAAGTAATACTCAATGCACCTCAGTGCACATCAATGCGTGCGTTCGCATTGTAATAACTTACGTGCTACATTAAAAGTTTTAGTCGAATGTAAATCTGAACGTTTAAATTCTTGCGTTTGTTTATCAAAAACTTGCGTTTTACATTTGAAGTTTTAACTGAATCTATATCGAAGTGTTTACATGTTTGCATTAATTGGGTCGGTAGGTCGATTTAAAATAATCTTCATGATTTTTCATCCAACTTGGATAATAAGTTGAAGACAAAATTTGTGACAAGTTTATCTCGTTGAATTTTGTACATTTCTTTCTATTAAATAACTAGTAAAATGAATTTGTTAAAATTGTAGAAATAGAGTCCTAGACCTACTTCGAAACCTAGGTCGGTATTACTCGCGATTTATCCAAATGTAACATTTTGAAATTATAGTATTAAATCAATGATTCAAAAAACAGACATTTACTTTAATAAACTTTTTTTAAATATTTTTTAAGCAAACAAAAAAAAAAACACATCAAACTAAACTTCTCTAAAACCGAAATTGTAATAACTCATTACCATAGTGTCCTCTTAAAAATATATATCACTTGCTAAGTGATAAATCAACGACATTAAATAAATTATTAAACAAATTTTTCGTTTAACACTTTGTCTTCTCGAAGTAGGGGCACCAGATAAAGAACAGATAAAAGAATAGTTTTTGTATTCATGTCATGTAATAATTCTAATATAAATTATGTAACGCAAGTATTACCGAACGAATGGCTGTAATAAATTTGATCGAAATTTATTTATATGTTTAATCATTATTCACTTTCTTTCGGTCCTTCTAACACATTTTTTTTTTAAATAATCAAATTAGATTTATCAAATAATTTATTAAAAAATAAAATGTATGAAATGTATATATGAAATAAATATTTAAAGTATGTTATGTGTGTGTATACAAATACTTTTAATAATTTTAATTTTGAGTAGAGTATAAATAAGCAGATAAAAAATCATTTTCATGAAGCGGACATTGTAAGTGTACCGAGAAAAATAATAAATAATCTAATAATTCAATAAAGTTATCAACATAAATAAAAAACTTCAGAAGTGTGTGTGAGTGTTTACTGCAGTCGCGTGTAGGTTTTTCACACCCTTTTCTATTTTTATTCATTTATTACAAATTACTCGTTAATGTAATATTATGTTAAAAGAATATCAATTATTTTATAGACTAACACAAAGAACTCCCTCTTTCTCTCTTTCTCTTTCTCTCTCGATATGAGATATGCACGCGTATATGATAGAAAACGAGATAAACAAAGGGAAATTAATTACGAAATTATTTCTATTTAAATTAATTTCATTTCATTTTGATTTTACAGCATAATATTACGAATTAATTTTACGATTATACTTATAACTTACTCGTTAATATGGTTTATGATATAAATATTTTGAAAAATTAATAATGGCCGAGTACTCTCTCAAGAAAAAATAAAGAGAGAGAAAGAGAGAGAGAGAGAGAGAGAGAGAAAAGGAAGGAGACGAGACGAAACGACCTCTTTCTCTGATTGCTTCTGAAATTAAACTGAGAATTTGTATGCTATCTCGATCTTTCTCTCTCCTTTTCTCTCTCTCTCTCATCAAGTTCCTGCTTCGTTACGTTATCGTTTTCCAAAATTAATCGTCCGATTCCAATCTTTCTGCAACCATTCTCTCGATCACGAAAAGATGTCATGGAATTTCGATTCGTCAAATTACTAGCTTTAGGGAGAAACAATTTTCCAACTCGTGCTGCTTCAAATTGGCGAGAGAGAAAAGTAATTGGACAATTCTTCTTTATAAATCAATTAATTCATATTTCATTCGGTCATTTTT